AGCAGGAATCCATCATGACATTTGCAGATATATGCATCATCAGTGTTAACACAAACATGCTCACAGCCATGGTTGATTGATTTGCAAAGATCTTTATCTGAGAAGAGACGACAGCTCTTGCTGGTTAATGTGCTTCTACACATGCATGAACTACAGATAAAAGTATGCCAATAAATACCGAACTACTTACTTTTGCAAGTTTTTCCATCTTCTCTTAGCAGGAAACCCTCCTGACACTTACAAACAAATGAATCACCAGCATTAACACAAGCATGTTCGCAGCCATGGTTGACTGATTTGCAAATATCCTTACCTGGGAATAGTTAGATAATACGTAATGTTGTTTGCTAGTTAAACATTTTCGTAAGTGCAAAGACTGCAGGGCTAATCTCATGAGCACAGAAAGATGGAGGGCTGCAAACAGAAGGCAAATTTCTGGCTAGTCAAATGATACTTTAGCTTATATGGAACATGAGCTCTTCACCAACTGAACAGAAGGAATTGCATGGTTTGGATGGCGTCCCACTGACGATAACACATTTTAGGAACAATCTGATTACTTTAAGGAGGAGGGCCTTATGTTAAAAGCAATAATAGAAGGCGAAAGGAGGGAATAATTTAGCACAGTCATTTAGCACAAATTCACGGTTATAACAACAAAAGTAAACAAAACACCAGAGGACACTAAGCAAAATAATTCATTAAGAATCTTACATCAGTGCCAAGAGTCTGCATTAAAAAAAACCCCAAAGAATAGAAACAACTCATTTAGGAGGATAAATAGAATCTAACTGGTATTGCTGAACATTGATGGTGTGTTTTGTGTGAGCGCGATGTTAAAACCAATTGGTCATAACCTACTTAAGAAAGATAGAGTGGGAGAAAATGTAGGAGAAAGTGGAGCCATCTATCACCATTACCTGTTTCTTTGTAAATCCAATGCAAAAGAAAGTATTTCCAGTTGCTAATGCAAAACAACTTTTACATATCAACTACAACAGTCTGTGCCACTGACTGCCAAGTTCATATTGGCTCTTGAG